CGACACTAAGCAAAATTTTAATAGTCATAGAAAATAAGATCTCTTCACATAAAGAAAATGGCAAGAGGTTTAATGAGCTTGTATTCACACTCTGCCAGTAGCTGGTGCAACAATGTAAGCAGGTTATATTAGCTGTCTGAGCTTGGCTTGTTCTGTAAAATGGGACTAATAATGCCTGTGTGATAGAGTTGTGAAGATTAAATATGGCATGTTGTGTAAATGTGTACCGATCCGCCAAATTATAGGTCTTATTATGGAGCCCAAGTCTAAAGGAGCAGGCAGGGAACATCGCGTCCCTTCACTGAACAGTGGTGGTAAATTTGACACATTCTTCTAGAGTGAAATCACTGGCGTGTAAGCTACTTATAATATATGAATATGATTTGTGAATGTTAATTCTCAAGTTGTTGAGACACCCAGGGATGTGTTCCTGTTCAAAATTCACCAGCCTTGAAATTCTGGATTGGGCGAGCCTCTATCATTAGAGGAATATTACGTGGTATCTGCTTTCTCCTTTAATTTTTTGCAGAGGCAGTTCTTTTTTTTTTTTAAGATTTTAATTATTTATTTGAGAGAGAGAGAATGAGAGAGAGCACATGCGAGGGGGGAGGGTCAGAGGGAGAAGCAGACTCCCTGCTGAGCAGGGAGCCCGACGCGGGACTCGATCCAGGGACTCCCGGATCATGACCTGAGCCGAAGGCAGTCGCTCAACCAACTGAGCCACCCAGGCGCCCTGCAGAGGCAGTTCTAAAGGCAAGGTCCTCTCAGTGTTTTCCTTGTCACATTAGGATTTACTGTGCCAGTAGAGTTGCAAAATAATTTTGTTTTTTAGATCAGTTAATTCTTAAAATGCTATTTAAGACAATCATTGGTATTTGAGGGGATGTGCAATAGAACTATTTATTTGCAAGTGTACAGGACTGGGCCAGATGGATGTTTTGTTTTGCTTTTGTTTTTAATTCTTCACTTATTCATGGAGTACCACCAGCGACAATTACATTAATTACAGCTTAGACGTTCTTTTTGTTCTCAGTGGAAGGGCTGTTGTATTTTGTTTGGATAGGAAAGAAACTTGGTAATTGAAGTGGGAAACTAAATTTTTTTTTTAAGATTTTATTTATTTATTTATTTGACAGAGAGAGAGACAAAGCGAGAGAAGGAACACAAGCAGAGGGAGTGGAAGAGGGAGAAGCAGGCTTCCTGCTGAGCAGGGAGCCCGACGCGGGGCTCGATCCCAGGACCCTGAGATCATGACCTGAGCAGAAGGCAGAGGCTTAACGACCGAGCCACCCAGGTGCCCCCTAAATTTGGTTTTTAAAAGCTTTATTGGGGGGTGCCTGGGTGGCTTGGTCGTTAAGTGTCTGCCTTCAGCTCAGGTCATGATCCCAGGGTCCTCGGATCAAGCCCTATATCGAGCTCCCTGCTCAGCAGGAAGCCTGCTTCTCCCTCTCCCACTCCCCCCCGCTTGTGTTCCCTCTCTTGCTGTCTCTCTCTCTGTCAAATAAATAAATAAAATCTTTAAAAATAAATTTAAAAAATTAAAGCTTTATTGTTTTGAGATTTAAAAATTAACCTTTTAATGCTGACATTGTGGTTAAAAGAAGAAAGGGTGGGGGAAGGGTTTGAGACTTTTTTTAGGGCAGTTTGGAGAAGACATGTTTCCATGTGTCCTAAATCATCTTCTCTACCTACTTAGAAACACTTGGCAGTCTTTTGAGTGAGACCCCAAACTGAGACCCTGACCTTGCTTTGGCTTACTTGCCTTTCTACCACAGAATCAAGGAAAACTCTGACAAAGTTGTTTCTTAAACTTTTTATGTTTGACTGCCTTGGTGTGGTAGATAGAATTTCTGTGCTGGGGGTAGGTTCTAAGACCCCTGCCCAAAACTCTTGCCAAAACAGAAAGGACCACACCCACCTGTCTTCTAAGAGTTTCCCCCTCGGCACTCATCTCCTATGCCTAAATTTGGTCCCACCATCCCTTGTTCTGGGTCTATAGACTGTAGGACCGCAGGGCACTGAGAAAAGAAAGATTCCCGGAGGAGGTCCCTGCACATGACTGAAAAGAGAGAAAAGAGCACACACCCTCACTTCACACTGGGGTGTGCCTGCTGAAACAAGCGGTTTTTGGTGGAAGAGGAAAAGGAAAGAATGTATAAGGTGTGGTTAGATTTATAGCCAAGAAGTAAGGGTTGGGTGGGGGAGGGTGTCACAACAGAATGTTGACCCATCCCACACAACCGTAATTTCTCCCCTCTTTCAAAAACTTGCCAACGTTCATCGCCACCCTCGGTAAATAAGGTGGGGCCACTTGGGAAGGCTTGTATTCCTTAACAGCATGACTTCCAGAGCCAGATGTCACAGATGAGGCCAACCAGGGGCTAGGGTAGGGGCCTCCCAGCCGGTGTGCTAAGACTGGCTGCTGGGTCTTGGGAGCACATCTGTGTTTTTCCAGATGACTTCAGAGTTTCGCTGAGTCCTTCAATATACTTTTGTTCACATTCACTGTCTTTTGATTTATGATTTGAGTCTGTTTCTTGAATTTACAGATTGAAAATTCATATCACAAAGATATAAAGGTAACAAATGCCACTCTGGGGCTGATCCGTACACTTATTCTTTTTTTCCCCCCCCACAATTTTTAATAGGATTGGGTTTTTTTTCTTAGTATTTAAAGCAACTTGAAAACACTTATGGTTTTAGGTGAATTTGCTGTAGGTAAATGTATGACTTTATTTTATGGAGAAAATAGATCATGAAAATAGTCTATGAAAATCCCCCCCCCTTTTTTCCTACATTTACGAAAAATAAAAAGAATATCAGTGATACCTCATTAGTAGTAATATAGCCATTAAAAGTCATTTCCAGGGGTGCCTGGGTGGCTCTGTTGTTAAGCGGCTGCCTTCAGCTCAGGTCATGATCCCAGGGTCCTGGGATCGAGCCCCATATCGGGCTCCCTGCTCCGCGGGGAGCCTGCTTCTCCCTCTCCCACTCCCCCTGCTTGTGTTCCTTCTCTCGCTCTGTCTCTCTCTGTCAAATAAATAAATAAAATCTTTAAAAAAAAAAAGTCATTTCCATTTTCTATCTCTTGCTCTTCAGAAACTTATTAGGACTTCTTTTCCTCTCCGTTTCAGTATGGTACATGTAAAATCATTCTTTTCTGTTGCAGAAAGGGGCTCTTTAATGTTGGATAAAGGGAGTGTTTGATGTTGTTTTCTAAAGAAACATTTGAAAGACTATATTCCTTTGCATATTTGTGTGTTCCATTTTATTTTATTTTATTTATTTATTTATTTTTAAAGATTTTATTTATTTATTTGACAGAGAGAGACACAGTGAGAGAGGGAACACAAGCAGGGGAAGTGAGAGAGGGAGAAGCAGGCTTCCCGCGGAGCAGGGAACCCCATGCGGGGCTTGATCCCAGGACCCCGGGTTTACGACCTGAGCCAAAGGCAGACACTTAACGACTGAGCCACCCAGGCGCCCCTGTGTGTTCCATTTTAATGTCACTAAAGTGTTCTGGTTTTCTCAAAAGAAGGACATCACCTGAAATACACATTTACTATAAAAAGAATAAATTGCTAACATTGATTTTTTTTTTTTTTTTTTTGAGACCCATGTTCAGGGAAGCCCAGTAGAAGATTATATTGAGTCATTTGGCCCTAAAAGCCTTGAGTTATAAAAAGAAAAACTAACAGGATCAGTAATATTTATGCATAGCACATTATCAGAGATGGCTGGCTGGAGCTGGAAATCGCATTAAGTATTTTATGCCATCAATCAGATAAATGACATCACAGGCAGAGCCTTCAGCTTCCAGTGACCTGCTCCCAGCAAGTCACTGACATCTGCATGTTAGGCCCACAATGCCCACCTATGTCATCATCTACAGCTTGTCCATCAGGCCAACTCACAGGTTAACTTCTTTGAATCAGCCTGCTGCTTGGGCGGGGGGTGGGGGGCACCTTTTCTTCCTAGTGTGGCTCGACCAACTGATCCCCTTCTCCCTACACCGTGGAGTCTCTTAACTCCTAAATGGCAAGGGGTTTTGTTTTTGTCTTTGTTCCTAAATAAGGGGTGGACGGAGGCAGCATAGAAATGGGTAGAGGTGGGGGACAGGAGATTCTAGCCAACTCTTTCTCCAAAGGGCCAAATATAAACATTTTAGACTTTAGGGTCTGTTGGAGCTACTCATTTCTGCGGTTGTAGCAGCCCTACAGGGTATGTGGATCAATGGGCTTGGCTGTGTTCTGATTAAATGTTATTTACAAAAAGTAGGCAAGGGGCCTTTGGCCTATTGCCCATAGTTTGCCAACCTCTGCATATTACAAAGTAACATATCCCTAAGAAACTGGCTCCGAGATTTTCCAGAAGAGAATTCCTTAAAATATTGTGAGCAGTAGAGCATAATTTCATAAATACATAGTGTCTCAGAGGAACCGAGCTTACTGCCCATTTTGATGTTAAGAGTTGGCATCAGGGGGCATCTGGCTGGCTCAGTCGGTAGAGCATGCAACTCCCCATCTCGGGTTCTTGAGTTCATGGCATCAAATATATTTTGCATCTCACACGTTCATTTCTTAAAAATTGCTGGTGAATGGAAAAAGAAGTGGCAGACCACCAGCGTCTGTTACAAAGCAAACGCCAACATCATGATTAAGCAGAGTGGGGCTGTGAGTGATCATTTTACAGATGCCCTCCGGGGACGTGGAGCCGAGAGCCGGGTGGGTACAGAGGGCCTCGTTTCCAGTCCGTGCGCGCTGCGTCAGACCCCGGGCCGGGGAGTCAGCCCTGGGATGTGGGAGAGCTGCTCGAGTTTCACATGTGTGTATTTTGTGGTCATCTGCTTAGAGTAAAAGTATTATTTTGTTGTAACAATTCTGATGATTAATTGTGATGGGTTTTTTTCTGTAGGAATTGGATAAACCTATAATAGAAATTCAAGTGCCTGTTGAGTAGAATTGGCCTTTTTACTGTTCCATGTGAACTATCTCTGACAGGTTGTCCCTGCAGAAGGACTGGTCTCTATATTAAAGAAGAGGAACGAGGGTGTAGGAGACCATCCTGCCCAGATGCAGCAGAAACCATCGAAACGAAGAGTGAGGTTCCAGGAGATTGATGATGACTTAGATCAAGGTAAAGCGCCCGAGGTGGGGGTCCGTCTAGCACCGAGCTGCTTCTGTGGATCGGCTGAGAGTGTGTTTGGTAATATAGCGTTTGTAAAAAGAAAGTGTACTTCGTTGCTTTATTATATTCTGTAAAGAAACACGTACAATCAAATGATCATCAGCAATTCTGTTATTCCTGAGCATTTGGTTCAAGTGAGCAAGTCGTAAACTTCAACTCCTGGCCTCCCTATCTTAACCGATGGTCTGCTCGGAGCTCATTTCAATTTCCTGTTTAATACTTTTTTTTTTTTAAGTGAGCCTGCTATTGTCTTTTTTTTTTTTTTTTTTAGTGACCATTAATACTCCTCCTTTGTAGGTCTGAGGAATATTTCTGGATTACAAGGGTATTCAGATATTCTCTCTGGTGATTTTTTTTTGAAGTATTTTTGCTTTTATTTTATTTATTTTTTAAAGATTTTATTTGAGATAGAGTGAGAGAGAGAGAGAGCACAAGCAGGGGGGCAGCAGGCAGAGGGAGAAGCAGACGCCCTGCTGAGCAGGGAGCCCAACAAGGAGCTCGATCCCAGGACCTCAGGATCATGACCTGAGTCACCCAGGCGCCCCCCTCCGGTGATTTCGTCGTGACTCTACAGGAGAAAGTGCCTCGCAGCACTGTAACACTGCTGCTCACCTTTGACCCCTCCCGCGTGTGCGCAGGCACGCACGCGTGCGGTGGTTGCTAGGGCTACCCGAGGCCTAGGTCAATAAGGGTGAGAAGAAATACAGCCAAGCGCTTTTCAGGGGGCTTCTCAAGTTTATAAAATAACAGCATTGCTAAAATAACAGAGTAAACACATACCTGTGCTTTCTAGGCACATAAAGTGGCAGCAGTAGAGGTCTCTAAATTTTTACAGAAGAAAGCTTCCAATTTATGGTTATAAAGGAGCCTTGGAAACGATCTGTTCCCATCCCTCCTTTTACCTCTGCACCAGGCTTCTCCAGAGAGAGTGCTTGGTTCTTTGCACGAATGGCACTGAATTGTTGCTTACCAAGAGGAGCCCTGGATGTACAGATGATGTTCCTACCTACTTGGTGGCCATCACGTCTTAGCCCGGTCACTTAGCTTCTGCTCAGCAGCCACCTGTGCCTCGAGGCCTCCTGGTTTAGCCACGAAGCTCTAAACAGTTTCAACACCTGTTGATAAAACAAACAAGACAAATGTTTAAAATAAACTGTGAAGAATGTTCACTTAGAAATATAGGATTATGAAGAAAAACATGGAAAACTACATGTACTAGATGGTTGACATAGATGGGGTGAGAGTGCATGATGCCAAAAAAACAGAAAAGAGGGTGAAAAAAGCTGAACTGACCAAAAAAAACAAAAAACAAAAAAACCCCAAGAACTACAGTAATGATATTATACTTATTCATTTGTAGAAAAATATATTTGCATGGATGCATATAAATTATCAAACCTATTGACTATTAAAATTTATTAAACTATAAATTTGTAAATCATAGGAAGTATAATTACATAATGCTATTTTTTAAGTTTTTTTTTAAGATTTTATTTATTAGAGAGATAGCAAGCACGCACACAAGCGGAAGGGGGGTAAGAGAGAGAGGGAGAAGCAGACTCCCCACTGAGCAGGGAGCCTGACTCTGCGCTTGATCCTAGGACCCTGGGATCATGACCTGAGCCGAAGGCAGACGTTTAACCAGCTAAACGTCTGTCTTCGGCTCAGGTCATGATCCCAGGGTCCTAGGATCGAGCCCCACATCGGGCTCCCTGCTCAGCGGAAAGCCTGCTTCTCCCTCTCCCACTCCCCCACTGCTTGTGTTACCTCTCTCACTGTGTCTCTCTCTGTCAAAAAAAAAAAAAAAAAAAAAAGTAAGAATCCTGAAAACTGTGTCTTTGATCTGGAAGGATACACACCAGAGTGTGTTTGCCTCTGGGGTGGGAGGAATATGCTTGAGTAGGAGAAAAACAGAGTCCCTTAGATTCTTAGATGTTTTTGTGTTTGAATTTTTACAGGAAGAATATATTCACATAATCCTGTAAAATCTTCCAAAAAAGTCTATTTTGTTTATATTATGTTTTATAAAATGTGGGGTTTTTTTATCATAAAAGTAATATATGTTAATCATGAAAAAACTCATGCAGTAATGGGGCACCTGGGTGGTGCAGTCCAACTCTTGGTTTCGGCTCAGGTCACAATCTCGGGGTTGTGAGATAGAGCCCCATGTCGGGCTCTGCATTCAGCAGGGAGTCTGCTTGGTATTCTCTCTCTCCCTCTGCCCCTCCCCCCCACCACATGTGCATGCTCTCTTTTATCGCTTTCTCCCACTCTCTAAAATAAATAATAAAATCTTAAAAAAAAAAGGGGGCGCCTGGGTGGCTCAGTCGTTAAGCGTCTGCCTTTGGCTCAGGTCATGATCCCAGGGTCCTGGAATTGAGCCCCGCATTGGGCTCCCTGCTCGGCGGGAAGCCTGCTTCTCCCTCTGCCACTCCCCCTGCTTGTGTTCCCTCTCTCGCTGTGTCTCTGTCTTCAAATAAATAAATAAATAATTTTTTTAAAAAAATCTTAAAAAAAAAAAAACCTCGCACAATAATGAAGTAAAACAGTGTCAAGTCTTCTGATCTTCCCTTGAGGGTTTCCCCCAAGTACTAATTGAAGTTTCTTACCATCTTTTCAGGACACATTGTGTATATATGTGTGCACATGTGTATAGACACACTGACACATACATGTTTTTTGTTTTAACACAAATGGGTTCATTATACTGTTATGTCACTTCTTTTTCATTTAACCATTGATCTTGGATGTCTTCCTATGAGAGAACATATTAAACTTACTTCATTCTATTAAACAATTGCATATTATTTCATTATATGAATGTCCCATGATTATTTAATTGTTCCATTATAACTGGAATAACTGAGTTATTCTCAACTTTATGCTCTAACAGACTTTGTCACAGTGAACATGCCCGTAAATATGCTAGTTTGTGATGTGCTAATCTGTAGGCTGATTCCCAGAAGTGAATTTGTTGGACTAAGTGATAGGGTCCAGCTGCCCTGAGGCAGTCCTGGTTTACACCTGTTGTCTCATCTTTGTCCCCCCACACTCCCTCGCTGTCAAACATGTCCCAGTCAGGAGGATAAATTTTTTTTTTTAAGATTTTATTTATTTGACAGAGACACAGTGAGAGAGGGAACACAAGCAGGGGGAGTGGGAGAGGGAGAAGCAGGCTTCCCGCTGAGCACGGAGCCCGTTGTGGGGCTCGATCCCAGGACCCTAGGATCATGACCCTGAGCTGAAGGCAGATGCTTAACGACTGAGCCACCCAGGTGCCCAGGAGGATAAATTAATTTAAAGTTTTAATAGATACTGCCAGATCACCTTCCAAGAAGGGTCTGGTAGTTTCTCATCGTGCTGATCATAAAACTTTTCAGTCTTTTTCCAAATTTAAAAAATTTTTAATTATGAATGATCATTAAGGCTTTCCAACCAAAGAATAGCTATTTTCTTAATATAGAGAGACCGATAAGGACATTTTTATTAAAAACAGGCCTGCTTGTTATTAAGCAAAATAAAAAGAAATCACTGTACTAGCTAGACCATTGCTGTTCCACTAAATGGTAAGAATAAAATTGAGTAATGGCACCTGGGTGGCTCAGTGGGTTAAGTGTCTGCCTTTGGCTCAGATCATGATCCCAAGGGTCCTGAGATCGAATCCCACATCGGGCTCCTTGCTCAGTGGGGAGTCTGCTTCTCCCTCTGCCTGCCACTCCTCCTGCTTGCTTTCTCTCTTTCTCAAATAAATACAGTTAAAAAAAAAAATGAGGGGCACCTGGGTGGCTCAGTTGGTTAAGCAACTGCCTTCGGCTCGGGTCATGATCCTGGAGTCCCGGGATCAAGTCCCACGTCGGGCTCCCTGCTCAGCAGGGAGTCTGCTTCTCCCTCTGACCCTCTTCCCTCTCATGCTCTCTGTCTCTCATTCTCTCTCTCTCAAATAAAAAAAAAAAAAAAAAAACGAGTAAAATCAAGTGAGATGCAAAAGTGATCCCACCCAAAGACAATTTTTTATTGTTTAATATCAAATTGACCTTGCTTCAAGGTGAGCTCCTGATGTGAACTCCAAAGATATTGTAATATTGAGATTGTAATTTGTACCCTAAAATAAGGCTATGAGCACATCAGAAAAGTACTGCCCTTCTTTTCTTTTTTAATGGAAGCAATTATATTCATTGTATAAATGAGCTAGTTTTCATTTTAGCATTGACAGGCTCCACAGATGTATGTGTCTGTGGTGACTGACAGGTGTTTATCTGGTGACTGACAGGTGTATGTCTGTGGTGACTAGCAGGTGTGTCTGTGGGAACTGACAGGTGTGTGTCTGTGGTGACTAACAGGTATGTGTAGTGACTGACAGGTGTATGTCTGAGGTGACTGACAGGTGTATGTCTGTGGTGACTGACAGGTGTGTGTCGTGACTGACAGGTGTATGTCTATGGTGACTGACAGGTGTGTGTGGTGACTGACAGGTGTGTGTCTGTGGTGACTGACAGGTGGGTCCCACGCAGTCCTCACATGCACTAGCTTTCTGTCAGTGACTCCAGCCCCTGGAGGACTCAGGTTAACTAGAAATGTCTACTTACCGTGACCAGTGAGAAGACAGCAGACACTGGGATTTCCATTTTGCACCTATTTAACCTTACTCTGTTCTCATATTTGCAGATGAAGTTGGAGGTGGTTCCTGTATTTTACTGGTCTTGCTGTGCATAGCAACGGTTTTCCTGAGTGTCGGAGGAACCGCATTGTACTGCACTTTTGGCGACATGGAGTCGCCCGTTTGTACAGACTTTGCGGATAACATGGACTTCTATTACACTAAGTTACTGCAGGGAATGGCGGAACTGAAACACTGGGTCTACCTCTCCTAGCAGCACTCAAGAGGCACAGGCATGCTGGCAGTGAGAATCAAAGAGTGAAACTTTCTAAACGGCTTTTATTTTCAGAGTTCTGTAACATGCATCCCCTCCCCCCAGCGAGGAGCCCTGGACTTCCAGAAATGGCAGCTTGAAATGGTAATCCAGAGGAGCTCTCAGAATAACCCTGAGCATTGTGGATGGAAGGAACGGTCTTTGGAGAGCACATCCACCCACTCCATGCTACTTCCTAGGGGAGCGAGCTACGCCCAGCAGAATCTCAAGGGCATTGTTGGAGTTCCACCATTTTTAGCTGCCTTGTCAAGCTAATGGTTAAAGGACACTTGGTTTACATTTGTTGGTCCAAAGACATTGCTTCCAGCCATCATGCAATAAGTTTGTGTATAATCAAAAGGAGTACCTTACGGTTTCATTGTCTTTTTTTAGTTAACCTTGGGAACTGTGTAATTTAGGCTTTGTGCATTATTTCCAGATTCTGTTCTTCATCTGTGAAATGATTGTGTGTGTGTGTATGTGCGTGTGCGCACACGCGTGCATGCATGCATGTCTGTTTCAGATGGTTATCATAAGCAAATACCCGACCCAGGGTAACAAAGATGATCTTTATTTGAACCTGACTATAAATGTGTGGGCACAAATAGAAGGCTTAACTGTGGAACAGATGAGTGGTAGAAATCTCGGCCCTGAAATCAGACACTGTGATAGATCTGTGACAATTAATTTGATTAACTAGCCAGAAATTAATCACAGGCCTAGAGGTAAAGAGGAAAAACTAAAGAGCTCCCTCTAAGTCTCAGGCACCCAGCTTCATCATGGATTCAGTGCTTGCTGAGGAATGTTGAGTGCTGGACTCACTTCTCAGTAGGTGAGCACGTTACTAGGTTCTGAGAATCTAAGAACCAGAATACAAAAATCAAGAAGATAACAGTTCCTGCTCTAGATGTTTTAATTCTGGTCTTATGTAAAATAAACTCCTACTTTGGCAAATGAAATTAAATCACGATATATAATTCAGTATTAAAAATCACACATTCAGATGTTTGAATGTGCATTCATATCATGGGCTTGATTTAGACCTCTTATGGGGCTGTTCAGCGAAAATTCAATCATATCTTAAATAGGTACGTGTGTGATTTTTGTTTCAATCTGTCAGTTTGATGGCATTTCCTTTTCTAAGGTACAGTGGTCTAACATTTAGAAAACCTTGCTTTGGCTTTTTATAGCATAGGCAGCCTTTTAACAGAGACAGAACACATGAATTCTAGTTTTTTAGCAAGTGACCATTATTTCATGTTTTTTGTTAGGATCGTTTGAAAGAAAAAGGGAGAAATTACTTTCTAGTTGTTACTGGCTGGTACAGTACTTCCTGTGTGTTTCTGCTTATTTATTTAGATTATATGAATTTTAAAGGGCTTTTTGTATAAGTTGGTAGTCTGTTGTTGAGCATGCGTTCGGTTATCCCAATGCTACATATTGAATTGCTATGTACTTAGTGTTTTGATTTTCTATAATTTCAGTTCAGTATATTTTTAGGTTGGTTAATTTTTAAGTTGATGTTTTATTTTCACTTATAATACTGTTTGACTTGTCTCTATCATGTCACCATAAACTGTAATATTTTCAAGAATTATAGATCAAAATATTTATTTAGAAGTGTACAAGAGAGTGAAATTTAGATTCCTTATACTTAAGGCTGATTTTATTAGAGGATTATTTTAATGTTCTATTATAAATTTTAAGAATTTGTATTCAGATGGTATGTAAACTATGTAAAATGTTGATGGTACTATCTCACGTGGTTCTAGAAAAGATATTCTACCCAAATCCGCTGTGAGGGGCATCCCCATCAGGGACAAACCTCTTCTGTTTAACCCTCGTGATTTCTAGTTACAGGAATTTGGTGGTGGGGATTTCTGCCAGTTTTATGTCAAGATAAATGAGAATTTCCCTCCTGTTCACCTCTTTTAGGTCACTATCGAAGTCCTAAATACCATAGCATCACATTTGCTGAAACTGAAGATCTCACACTGGGGCACAAGGACTGAGACAGAATATGGGGTTCTCAGGGGCCCAGGGAGTGTCAGACAAACCGTGTGTGTCCTCACTGCTTCCCAGGGAATGTGAGGTGAGCTCAGGAGCATATTGATATCTTGACTTGAAATAAGCATGAAATCTCAACTAGAAAAATTAGGGCAACTTTAAAAAATGAAATAGTCATTTATTGCATGAATTGGAGTAACTTCATCTGGTGATAAAAAAAAATTATCTCACGCGTAAAAAATTCATTCCAGTTTTACTACAATGTCATTTTTTCTGCCATTTGAAAGTACTGACAACTCTTTGTAATTAATCTTCCCTAAGAACTGTATTTGAGGGTAACAGATCAAGCTTGTAATTTAAAATGACACCAACACAGCGTCTCAGAGAGTTTATTTGAACCCTGGGAGAAAAACTGCTTTAAAGCGACAGTGTGAAATGCTTTGAGAGGTTGGTCTGGCCCCACAAGCAGACGGCCGTCTATTTTGGGAAGTCTAAGAGGTCCCTACGTGAAAGCTCTTCTGGTTCTAAAAGCCCTCCCCTATCTGCCTGACACAGTAACTGAAATTTACTCTAAAAACTCATTCCTTCGGATTTAAAAATCAAAATCCACTGGGCAGTGACTGTGTATTATAGAGGATTTGAAATTTGAAAGCAGGCCTTGTTTTGAAAGGACAGGTGTGAATTGGGGCATGCTGGGGCAGCGGTGCAGAGGGGGCAGGAATTGAGAAGCGAACAAGGGAAGGTGGGGAAAGAACAAAGAAATCCTTTGGCTGTTAACCCGCTTTGCTGAGAGGCTGGCCCGGTTCAAGGAGAGACTGATTTTTGTCTTCCCACTGACGTGACCTGCCTAACTCTTGAGGATTTCTGTGGGTTTAAGTAGTATTAATGCACCCTTGTATACTTCCCCGTGCAGTGTATATAGTGTTTTCACATGTATTCATGTGATGGTTACATCATGAAACACACATCGCTCAGTGCAGGTTTGTATCTCCCCAATCCCGTCTGCTTTCCATACTGCCACGTTATCTCCACCCTCAAAAAGAATGAGAGTGATCTAGGGTTGACGGCGCAAATTCTAGTGCCATCTGCTGTTTTAACAGCCTCAAAGATCGACATTTATCAAGCCTCGTGCACTAGCCCTGTAAAAGCTACGGTAAATTAAAAATGTCCTGAAGGATTCTAGGACAGTTTAACTCTCTCTGAGTTTAGGGTGCTGAGAGAAAAGGTATCTCTTCTCCCTGGTTCTAACGGGAGTAACTGCTAAACTCAATTTTTTGCCTGTTGCTCTGAGATCAGGGCAGAACCACGAGCAGTGTGTCACTGTCTTGCACCTTGACAAATGTATGTATGCCTGCCATGTGCTTAGAGCTGGGTGCTGGAGCTCCAGGAACAAGAAATCATAGCAGCTTAAAGAAGTTAGTGTCTGGTGAGATACATGCATTTGTGAAGGAGGAATCAAAATGAAGAAATTGAGAGTCCTGCTACCCGTGGGAGTAGAAAATTGAGTTCATTCTCTCCTACCAGGTGTCATGCACTATAAGGAACAAAAGTAAAATTCTAGGGGCTCTTGGGTGGCTCAGTCGGTTAAGCACCTGCCTTCAGCTCATGTCATGATCCTGGGGTCCTGGGATCAAGTCCAACATCGGGCTCCCTGCTCAGCGGGGAGTCTGCCTCTCACTCTCTCTGTCTCTCTCTCTCCCTTTCCCCATCACTCGTCCTCTCTCTCTCTCTCAAATAAATAAATAAATAAAAATCTTTAAAAATAAAATAGAATAAAAATTATGATTTTTTTTTAAAGTAAAATTCTATCTAGGCTTCCTGCATAGCAGCATGATAGACAGGAATCTTTTCTCACAACCTAAGTTCTGGTAATTATTACTTTTCACTTATAGTTAGTGTTTGTGGCATTAATAGCCGGTGGGCTTTCCAGCAGTAGAAAGCTTCTCCCTAAGAGCCTTCTTCAAAACTGAAAGCCTGAATAGCACAAGTGAGAACCTCACAAAACTCCAGGTCCAGAAGCTTCCTCAGTAAATTCTATCAATCATTTAAGTGAGAAATCATATCCATCCTATAAAACACCTCAGAAAGGAGAGTGTTTCATGGGACAAGATTACTCTGAGACCAAAACCAGACAAGACAATAAGATAGCTAAAGACCAGTATCATTCGTGAACTTAGACACAAAATCCCTAACAAATACTAGTTGATCCAATCTAACAATATACACAAGAGGTAATACAGCATCACGGCCAACTGAGATTAATCCTGGGAGTACAATGTTGTTTTCACATTAAAAAATTACTCAATATAATTCACCGTTTTAACAAACAAAGGAAAACCGTACTACCATACCAATAAGTGCATGCGATTCATACACCATTCATGATAAAAACTCTGAGCAAACTAGGACTTCCCTAACCTGATCAAGGGCATTTCCAAAAAACCCGCAGCTAATACCAAATACCTAGTTGAAAAGGACAAATGCTTTTCTTTCTTTTCTTTTTTTTTTTTTTAAGATTTTTATTTATTTATTTGACAGAGAGAGACCGCGAGAGAGGGAATACAAGCAGGGGGAGGGAGTAGGAGAGGGAGAAGCAGGCTTCCCGCGGAGCAGGGAACCTGATGTGGGGCTCGATCCCAGGACCCTGAGATCATGACCTGAGCCGAAGGCAGACGTTTAATGACTGAGCCACTCAGGCGCCCCGACAAATGCTTTTCTTCCTCAGGTCCACAACAAGGCAAAAATGTTCATTCTGACCACTTTTGTTCAGTGTTGTACGGGATGACCTACTACGACAAGGCAAGAAATAAAAGGCATACCGACTAAAAAGGATAAAATAAAACTTTTTGCCAATGACATGATTGTTTGTCAAGAAAACCCTAAGGAATCTGTAGAATGCTATTAGAATACGTGAGTATAGCGAAGTCATAGAATGCAAGGTCAATATACAAAAAAGTCAATAGTATTTCTGGGTACCAGCAATGAACCATTGGAACATGAAATTAAAAATCATGAATAAAAGAATCAAAATTCATATCACTTACAATAGCACCCAAAACATGAAAGATTCTCAAATTTAACAAAATATGTGCAAAACCTGTGCAATGGAAACTGTAAACCATTGCTGAAAGGAGACCTAAATAAGTGAGGAAATACAATCTGCTTGTGGAGTAGAAGACCCTGTATCATGAAGATGTCAGTTCCCCCCAGATCTATCTGCAGACCTGACATCACCTCAAAGTCCCAGCAGTGTCTATAAGTGGACAGGCCAATTTTAAAATTCATGCAGAGATGCAGGTGACTTAGAAGATAGCCAATGAGGGCGCCTGGGTGGCACAGTCGACTGAGCGTCAGACTCTTGGTTTCGGCTCAGGTCGTGATCTCAGGGTCATGAGATCAGGCCCCACGATGGGCTCTGTGCTCTGTGCTCACTTGAGTCTGCCTGAGATTCTCTCCCTCTCCCTCTCCCTCTGCCCTTATCCCTCGAGTTCTCTCTCTCACTTTCAAATAAATAAATAAGTCTTTAAAAAAAAAAAAAGACTTATGAGAACAAAATGGCAAGACATACTTCTTGATTTCGAAACTGAGTGGCACAGTAACCAAATTGGTGTGGCACGAGGACAGTCCAGACGTGCATCTGCGTGTGCAAAGCAGGGGAATCGAAAGCTAAGCCTAGGAATATACCAAATTGAAAAGCCATCTTTTTTCACAAGCGGAGGAGATGAATAATTTAGTTTCGGCTAGGTACAGCCAGCAATCTTATATCTGGAACAGGGCCTGAATAAAATCAAGATGACCCAAGAGCAAAAACAAAATGGATATCATCGGCCATCTCTCCTCTCTGAAAAGCAGGAGTAAAAAACGCAATTCTGTAAGTGTGGGTGACTGAGTGTGATGGGCACTTAAGGACAAACAGCACACAAAGCCACACTTGGAAGATTTGTCACTTCAGGGGGAAGTGCTAAATTAATTTTTTGCATCACATTCTAAGCTTGGCTTAAATTCTTACTTTTCTAAAGATTACAAAGGGTTAAAATCCTACAGACGCAGGGTTTGGAGCACCACAAATGCCACCAAGTTCTGGCCATTCGCTGCCCCTTTGCAGACACATTGATCTCACAGCTGTATTGATGCCATGTTTTTGGTTTACAGACCCACAACATTGCAGATGCTTCGGGAATCCACAAAGGGCAGCTGAGAGATGCTCCCCAGAACTCCTTGGGTTTAATCCCCTCGCTTCTCTTGCCCTGATGAGCCTCTCCTCCGGTCCTTGGCATTGGTATCACACTGTGGTCCTGACAGGATTGACAGATTTAGCAAGAAAAATACAAGATGCCCGGTTAAATTTGAATTTCAGATAAACAAGTCCTTTTTCAGTATGTCTTACGCAATAACCGGGCATGCTGTATTTTATCTGGCACCCATAGGCGCTGAGTGTATACATGGGGTCTGTCAGGGAAGCGCTCTGCCTTCCTACCGGGCTCCCCCAGGGTCCCTCACACAAGCATAGGATGGCGAACCACCAGATGTCCCAGGGTGGAGACCTTGCAGAAATGGAGTAACCGCCCCTGCTGTCTTGTTCGTATGCAAGACGCAGGGTACAAAGTGATAGGTAAAAAAAGAGCAAAAGGAGGATGCAGTAGCAATCCCAGGAAAAATGCCCTGTAGATATTCCCAACTTCTTGTTTATTTTTATTTTTTTAAGATTTTATTTATTTGACAGAGAGAGACAGAGAGAAGGAACACAAGCAAGAACACAAGTGGGAGTGGGAGAAGTAGGCTTCCCGCGGAGCAGGGAGCCCAATGCAGGGCTCGATCCCAGGACTCTGGGATCATGACTGAGCCACCCAGGCACCCCCCAACTTCTTGTTTAGAAGTAGAAACTCTTTCCTTCGCTCTGCTGATCTTGACCATAAGGAAGTCACTGAAGCTGCTTGGATTCCAGCTTCATTTCTGACACCAGAGAGCAAATGAGTCAGTGTTGACACAGCCAGGTAATGCTCACGCACAAGATCTGTTGCAAAGCTGGTCTCTCTGGATTCGCAGGGCATAGACCAATTTGCGGTCACTTCTTTTAAGGAGCACTTGTGATAAAGGATAGTCCCCAGAGCCAGGCCCTCTGGATCTGGAATGTGTGCAGTGTAGGTCTTGGAGACTCTACTGTAGAAGCTGTGCTGTTTGTGGGACTCCAGCCTGAGCATTGGCATTGGCATTGACATGGATCCCTGATGCCTGGTAGACTTCTGCTCCTTCCCATTGCCAGGACTGGACATAGACTCTGTACCCCAAATTCAAATGATCTGTTTGGGGCAGATACCATTTACTAGAACTCCTGATTTTATATTGTTTTGGAGACTAAACACTCTCCAAAGAACTCATTCCTGTCCAGTTCACAATCCTCCCTTATGTTCAGGTTCTCAGAAAAGCAACAGGCTAGGGCACAATTCCCCCAATCCAATCACCTGTGGCCAGGGCTATAGGGTGACGAAACATAAAACACAGCAACTTGTTGAGAAGGAACCACCTGTGGTGGCCTTTTCTTCGAGAGGAGCTTTGGGTACAGTGGAAGCTTCCAAGTCTATGGATCCATTTATATATATATATTTATATATTATATATATATATATTTATATCCATTTATATATTCCACCTCTTACTTCCATGATCAGCTTCAAAGGACCCCTGTCCAACCTCATCCAACTCTTGCAACCCAACAAATACAGACATCCACGTTGTCTTTTCCCAGTGATGGAAAGTAGAATGTTTTGGACATTTTAAAGTTTGATGTTATTTTAGAAATTACATAGGTAAGGAAACTGATGTCCAGGCTGAACATCCAGTTACTGTGATCTTATTTATCATCGAGATTCCAACTCTAGTGACCACCTCCCTTCTTTGGTTCTTCTGTACCACCAAACGATCCTGTATCCTGAGTCTCTTCTCCAGGGTTGACCAACTACTCTTCCTATCCCAACAATTTAGTTTTTCCAATGGAGAAAAAAATTGAAACGGGAAAAAAAGCAGATTGCCTCTATTTACAGTCACTTTTGGACCAAGTTCCTATCCACACCAGAAGTGTAGGCAAGGACACTTTTCTTCTTTGTTTAGTTTGTATGGATCCTGTCAACCCCTAATCTTGTACTCGGAAAATCAGAACCAGGGGATGTCGTCATTCCAATGAATGATGTGAGCCTTCTCTGCTCCCTGAGTGCATCTCTCCTTCCTGACCCTTGATCCAAAGCAGTTAAGAAAAACAATAAAATCACAAAACCTCACTTTTAATCAATGCATTCCGGCCAGAGGGAGGGAGAGCGGGTTGTCCTTACAGAATATCTATAATTAGATTGGGTTTGGAACTTGGACTGCTGCATAGTTTTAAATCACCATCTCAAAACTTCCAAAGGAGCTAGAGGGATCTAAAAGCTCTGAACAGAATTGGGAGTGAAATCAAGGCATTTTGAACTAGTGACCTTATTGGAACACCTTATAAGTAGGCACATGAGTAGTTAAGTCTTGCACAAATTGGAGGCACTTCCCCCTGAAGTGACAAATCTTCCAAGTGTGGCTTTGTGTGCTGTTTGTCCTTAAGTGCCCATCACACTCAGTCACCCACACTTACAGAATTGCGTTTTTTACTCCTGCTTTTCAGAGAGGAGAGATGGCCGATGATATCCATTTTGTTTTTGCTCTTGGGTCATCTTGATTTTATTCAGGCCCTGTTCCAGATATAAGATTGCTGGCTGTACCTAGCCGAAACTAAATTATTCATCTCCTCCGCTTGTGAAAAAAGATGGCTTTTCAATTTGGTATATTCCTAGGCTTAGCTTTCGATTCCCCTGCTTTGCACCAATGACTGTTAGCCCCTCTGCCTTCTTGTTTTCCCTCGGTGAGACCAGCTTCTCATGACGAGGCATTTAGCCTTCTCTATCTGACCTTCCCTTCAGGACAGCAAACCCCATTTTCTGTTAAAAATGATTACTCATAAATAGAAGTGCATTAGTATTAGCTCTGGCCAGAATCCATCTGGTCTCTTCCCTTCTGTGCAGAATGATAAATTGGCAAAAGGGCAGGAAGAGAAGGGTCAGGGAGCAGACTAGGCTGGTCCCTGTAGAGACACAGCCCGTGTGCACAGATGTCAAGCTCCTTGTGCAGAGTGAGCTTTTTTGTGTCCTAGGAAGTACCCTCCCCAGCTCCTTGGCCACTGCAGATTTTAATATAGGCCACAGGAAATGTCACGTATGCCTACACATCTGCAAAGCATCCTGGATTTGTCAGAGGAAAAAGCAAGTAGGAATAAAGGGGAAAGCAATAAAAGATAATAGATTTTTAGAAATCACGCATATTGATGAGTGCCTGTGTGTGTGTGTAAATCCCGCACCCCCCCAACCCCCTGCCATTTAGCTAGTTACTACTCAGTCTAGCAAGGTATGAACACTTAAAGGATCAATAATTTATATTTTTAATTTTTAAAAAAATTTTATTTATTTTAGTGAGAGATCGAGAGAAATTGAGAGAACGAGTGGGGGGAGGACAGGGAGAGAAGCAGACTCCCCACTGAACAGGGAGCCCAATGTGGGACTCGATCCCAGGACCCTTAACCAACTGAGCCACCCAGGGGCCCAAGGATCAATAATTTAAATAACAGTAAATGCTAATGGAAAATGCTGAAATGGTAACAGTACAAAAGCCACAAAACACAGGCCTGAGAGAGGTCAGGGTCTGGGGGAGATGAGGGAAATCTGTCTGCAAAAGCCTTCCTAGGGACAGTGCTCATATCGCAAACAGCCCTCGACCCAGCATGTGCACTTCTCTTCCCCGCAGGCTCAGAGACAATTCTCCTGGGGTACTTTCTACAG